CTAGAGCAGACAGCTTCAGTGCAGATAAGTTAATATTGAACAAAAGTATGAAGTTGTGCAGCCAACACTGAATTAAACATGATGGATGTTTTGTCTCATGTCATGTTTTGTAGAACACTGGTGATTTTTTGTGCAGCACTCAACTATCATTGCTGAATGCTGGTTTCCTCTGTTTCTTCCTTTAAAAAAATAAAAATAATAAAAGATTTCTGCTTATTCCCTTTCTTCCTGTATGCTTTGTTTAGAATTGTATCTTTAGTTATTTTTTTCCTTCAGGTGTGTCTTCTGGATTTCCTTCCACCTAATTAGGACAAATAAGTTTTTCTAAATACTGCAGAAGAGTGATCAGTTCTTTCTCAGACACCAGTGGGATCTCTCCTCCTACTTCATTGTTCCTAAATGATTACAAATGACATTTCCCTGTTTAGACTTGGGAAGTGAAATGCAGTGAAGGACTACTGTGGTGAAATGTGGATTGTCCTGAACAATTTTTATGGCAAATGATGGCCTGTGCAGTGCAAGTGTGCTGTGGATGGGGGGCGGGGGGAGGAAGGGGTGAAAAGCAAGAAATATTTCTGTGCTGTTTTGAAGTTGTGAATTGCTTCGGACCATCTTCTCTATTTCCTAATTGGATATGTCATGTTGTTGTGTAGTTACGTCAGCTGGCTTTTGTGAGGTGATGATTTTAGACAGCTTGAGGCCTTTGGGGCGCTGTGCACACGCGTGTTGTTGCTTTATCAGAAGCACTGCAGTGTGGAAGTTGGAGCTGAGTTTAAAATTAACCTCTGTCAAACATTTTGGGATACTTAAATGGCAGTGGCAAGGACCCCCTTTTTGTCTCCAAGTGTACTGTTGCTAGTCAGAAATGGAATGAATGGAAATCACACTCAAAAAGCTCTTAGTGCCAGAAGCTCAGAAAAAAAATATATTTTGGTTTATGCCTGCTATTCCAATGGGAGGAACAGTTTGTCACTACATGATGCTGTACACCTTCAGCGCGAGCAGTCGCCAGCAGGATGATGCAGTGAATCCAGAAACATGCCACCTGTTGATTAACTAAATGCTAAACTTCTTTTTTTTAATAGTACCTATAATAGCCACTGCAATAATTTAGATTTTTTTTGTGCACTGCTAACTTGGGTATGTGGTGGTAAACCAGTGGTTTTGGATCCCTCCTTGTTCCTGGAAGTCAGTTATGTCTTGCAAAACTAAAACCAGAGTATTTTTTAGCTTAGCTGTTGTTAAGACAGGGTAGTGAGTTCTGAATTAATTGAAATGTGCTTAAGTGTTGGCCAGTTCGGTGATGTTTGTATGTCATCATTCTTTCAAAATAGGATTACATACCCAACAATTATTAATGAGATTAATTTTTACATGTAATCAATACTCAGGAGTTCTCAGAATAACATAAGCGCTTTCCTTGAGTGCACCTGTGTGCGTTATCTCAGTTCTTAATCAAGTTTCCACCCCATTCTTCCTCTCAGCTGCAAACATTTTTACAATTTCCTACTATTCTGTGATATTCCTCAGTCAATAGGAAATTCTGTCACACGTGTTACTGGTGTTATCCAGATTTGAATGGGAGACTGCAGGGAGAGTTTGAAGAAGACATTGTACTGATTGTGACCTGTTCCTTTCTGTGCACCTGCGATACCGTGGTGTTCCTACAGAGGCAGCTTATGTGATGTGAGCAGAAAGGAGGTACTTGCTGTAAGTCATGAACTTGGTGAGCTCCCTAAAAATACTTAGGGAAAAAAGCTAGCCTGGGAGTCCTGACTCTGTAGACGGTATTGTGCAGCTTCAGAGATATCTTACCTCAGCTAAATGAATTGCTGCAGTTGGCTGTATTAGAACCAGAACTACATAAAGAATGTTGTGGAGACTACAATGTACATGCATGTGGGACTGGTGTGACAGAGGATGACAATTTATGTACCCTAGCAGTGTGTAGATATACTGAATTGTTTCCGTAATTGCAGAGTAACTCATTGAGTCTGATCTTGCAGTGCACCTGGATATTAAATCAGTATGTGTAATTAACTGGTTAGTACTTAGGACATGTCAGACTTTTTTTGGGAGGGGGGGGAAGGTAGGATCCCTCCCAACTTTGTTCTTTCAGAGGTGCCTAAGTTGTGGCTGGGGTTTCTTTGCTTTCATTTTTGCTTTCGCTCCCCTCTTCCTTCCCTTGGGCAGTTGGTGGCTATGTAATTGAACTGTGTCTGCTTTTCTTAATAATTTTTTCTTTGCAATCCAGACGAGCATGCTGACACATCCCAAAAGCTAGCTGTTGACAGAATTAGATAATTTGAGGATCTGAGTTCAGAGATGTATCCATGATATTTACATTCTCTTCTGACTGCAGCAAAGGCTGGGATTCTCCTTGCTGTACCATCTTTGCAGTGTTACTCATCTGCATGTCATGTTCTGCCTTGAACCCAGTCTGGTTTTGCTGGATTCGAGTTTTTTGAGCCAGTTTGCTAATTAACACTGTTATTGTGCTAGAAACATAGCTTTATATTTTTTACAGTAATGGTAGGAAAATGATCAGTCTTTTAAACAGATACTCATTACAGGCTTTCTATTAGAGATAGGAATCCATACTCCAGAGCCCTCTCCAAGCTAAACAAGCCCAGTTCCCTCAACCTTTCTTCATAGGAGAGCTGCTCCAGCCCTCTGATCATCTTAGAGGGCCATTCTAAGATGAGGTCCTCCTCTGGACCCACTCCAACAGCTTCACATTCTTTCAGTACTGGAGGGGCCACGGACTTGGATGCAGTGCTCCAGCTGGGGATTTGAAGGGCAGAGTATTGGGGCAGAGAGTCACCTCCCTCTCCCTGCTGCCACCCCTCTCTTAAATGCAGCCCAGAAAATGATAGCCCAGAAAGCCAACCACCTTCAGATCTTTTTCAGTCTGAAGCAGCACAGATGTTAGTCTTGCTTTTTGGCTGATATTCTCATCGGATGGGGGTGGATGTCACATATGTGTTTTAAGCTGACAAAAGTCTTTTACTTCACCTGTAAGGTGTTGTGTGGTTAAATAATACTGTTCTAAATGGCTTGCTGGATATTTCTGAGATGTTTCAGGGAGGTGAATGACAAATAATCGTTTAGTTGAACAATTCAATTTTCATTTCTTTTCTATAGCATTTAGAAATCAATAGGGAAAAATGGAGCATTTACAAACAATGGTGTGGGTGTGCATTCACTTATTGCAAAATAGATTGGGAGTTGGAGTTTTATTAGACTTCTTTCTCCAGAACCTCAGTTTGTAGCAACAATTTAAAAATGCCTTGTTTGTTTTTTTGCTTTGTTTTAAAAAAAGCATCCTCACTTTAGGTACGAAGCTGCTACTGCCTTTGGGACATCGAGTCATTAAGGTGGTAGTGCTCACTTGGAAAACTATTTCAAAGTGATTGAGCAGATTGCTGTGCCTGTGAGTCAGTACTGCTTCGCGTGTTCGTTTCTGGATGGAAGGCTGTTTCAGTCCTGTACCTACAGATAAGTAATGGTTCAAAATAGATCAAGCAGTTCAAAACTGTTGTGAAAGGGGTAATATGATAGTAATGAGAAAACGCTAACGTGTGTGTATGTGTATGTAGTGTTAGTAGTGTGCCACTGCACTGCTTGTTGCTGCATGATGGTGCTCACCTGGCGCCTGGCCAGGCGGCTCGCTGGCAAGAGCCGCTGCCTTTATGGTGTGGCGGCAGAGGGCAGGGTGGAGCCAGGACTGCTGGCCTGAATTGGGCAAGGAGTATTCTGTACCTCCTGACATCATACAGGAGGCTGTAAAACTGAGGGGGAGTTACCCAGGGGCAGTTGCTGCTCTGGGGTTGGTGGTTTTTAATTGATGGCGGATGGTGGGCAGTAGTGGTATTGGCAGGATGCTGGCTGGCAGGCAGTTGTATTGTTAGCTGGGTTTCAGTCAGCATGTGGCGAGTAATTGCATTGTGGCTGAATCTATATAGTTACCATTGCATATTTGTTTCCATTTTCCTCTTCTGTCTTAGTGAATAGGTTTTATCGCAATCCATGAATTGTATTTAGTTTCCAGTTCTCTCTCTCATCCCGTTTGCGGTGGGGACTGAATGAATGTCTGTGTGATGTTTAACTGCTTGCTGAGTTAAACCACAAAAAGGTTTTCTTCTTTTTTTTTTTCCTTTCCCTCCTCCCAATAGTGGCAAAGTTTCTACAGGCTTTGATAATGACAGTAAAATCTCAGAAGAGAAATATCCTGTTCAGTATCAGGTTGATGTTTCTGTCATGCAAGATGTGTTTTTAGGCGGAATTTAATGTCAGGCTGCAGCATTCTGGTGGCTGGTTAGCTTACTGTCAGTCTTCATCAAATGGTTTTCTTGCCTCTTAAATGGCTTCGTGAGTAGGATAAGCATTCTTTTTTTTTTTTTTTTTCTCAGTACTGGTTGTTGGCCTAATTGTTTGGGGATGGGTGAGTAATAATTATCTTGAATTAATAAACTGTGTTGTGGTTTTAGGGTTTTCTTGGAGGTAGCTTAAAATGCATTTCCAGGAGTGGTGCAACTTTATTCTGTAGAAGTCTAAGTTTGCTGAAACTTAAATCCAAAAATTTGATCCTACGGATCAGCAAATAAATCATTTTGCAACATGTGAATTTCTTGTGTTTAGAGAATAATTTCCTAGATTAGGGCGGCAGTTGAGGTAGAAGAATACTGAAGAGAGAGGGTTAGGTAACAGTGTGTGTAACCATAGCTCTTTTCTTCCCCATCTCCACAATACTGCATACATTACATTGAGGGAGAGGAGAGGAACCTGTATTGCTCTTTTGCAATTACAAGTTTTTGTTTACTCCACATTGTCTGACAAGATAACTATAACATTTTCTAAATACTTTGTAAGCGTTGCTGAGCTTCAGAGGCAATTGTCTTTCATTTCTATGTGGTTTTTATCTAGAAAAGACCATGTTGGATGTCTGATTTATTTATATATATACATATTTATTTATTTATTTACTTTTTGTCTTCTAGGGTTTCGTTTTTGCACTGAATGTAGCCAGGACGGATCCTTGTGGGCTTTGGCAGCCCTTGGAAACTGTCAAAGGTAAAAACTGACTAAAGTTCAATGTTGCATTCTTGAAAATTGAAGGTGAGATGAACATTTACCCATACTAATTTTTAATCATTTGTACAATACGTTGCTGCCATCAGACATATGTTCTAATGTGTTATTTCTGGTGGGTTTGGGTATGAAAGATTTCTTCATGTAACTGCCTGTATGGGAACTGCTGAGTCACGGCCTGAACCTCTGATTGATCACCTGAGGCGAGCCATGAGTCAGCCAGAGGAGCACAGCTGAAGGCAATTCACCTGTGCTGCCGGAAGGGGTGGAGCCAGGCTGCACTCCTCCTAGACCTATTGAAGAGCTGGCTGCCAGAGGGGAAGGATCTCTTCTGGAGATCCCCTCTCTTGGTGTTTTGTGGTGAGCCCAGCCGAAGGATAAGCTCTTCCACTTATCTTCTTTTTGTTATCGTTGTCTACTTTGCCTACCTCTCTTGATTATATTGTGATTATAACATCTTGATATCTATTGATTATACAATTATATTGTGATTATAACATCTTGATATCTATTGATTATACACTGCCTGATGGGATTTGTGAATATCAGCTACAGTTGATTTGTACAGTGGCTTTCTTTAAAATCTCATCGTAAATTAACTTCTTTTCAAAGTCACTGATATCTGCAAGTTTTTGGTTCCTGTAAACAATTAATTTAAATTTAAGCTTTATTTTTCTTCTGGATGCTCTTTTCTTGTATCTCATAACTCTCATTTAAAATGACAAAAACTCTTCTGTTCTTTTTCCATATGCTAAATTCTTGTTGCTTATGTACAATGAGAAAAACTCTGTTTAATGTGAAACTGTGGCAATTTCTTATGCTATAGCTAGATAATCTGTAGAAAAAAAATAACACAGTTTTGTCTGCACGTGTACATAAAGGCAGTGATTGCAGTGATCAGTCAAAACCGTTGTGTTAGTAAAATGAACAGGTTCATTTGAGACATAGTTCTGTATAGTACTACCTTCATTTGAACTCCTGTTTTCAAGTATAGCATGTATACAAGTTTGCTGTGTTCTGAAGGGCATTTGTGAGTTTGTTTTGCTTGGTGCTCTTGAGAGAACCTTCAGGTTTTGCTCACCATCTGTAATGGTGACAGCCTTGCTGTCCTTTGAGGGTTTTCCTGTGGGCCATATCTGATTCAGACTTCACAGTGCGTAGGAACCACAACTGATTTTACATTATAAAGCACTTCTTTATATCATATGAAAGACACTATTTTCCTCTTTATTCTGTGATTTCTACTGGCAATCTGAAGTAGTGCTGAAAGACCCATTTCTTAGATGAGGTGCTTAGTTCTGATGGTGACTGTTTGACACCCAGCAAAATTCAATACATTTGGATTCCAACACCCTTGCTGATGAGGTTGTTATGTTTCTGAATAATCGACCTTTCTATGTGAGGGAAAGTCAGGCTGAGGAAGTACCTTGTTCATTGGAATTACTCTTGAGGGATTTGTGAGCGTATGGAAGTTTGGCTAGATTTTAGTTGCCAAAATTTTCTAGAATACAGTAGTGAGAAGACGGCTGCTCTCCACTGTTGTGCTTACACTGTATTTACGACTGGTAGCTGTGTCCATCATCCTGTTAGCGCTGAATAAATTCTGTACATCTTTGTTTCAGAAAGTGGTGGAACACAAAACTAAACATTAAGCTGATTTGGCCAGAAAGTAATAACTTTATGATAGGATAATGTTATCTTAGGCATTAAGGTTTGTGAGAATGATAGCAAGTTCACGTTAGTGAGTGTCTCTACCTCTTCTAATCGCTGTATTATGGTTTAGAGTTAAAAGCTGTTACTAACTTTAGATATGCATCTGCTAGGTAGGTGAATATGCTGACATACCTGTATGCCATTTGTCAGACTTTCACTGGGGTGCTTTTCACTCATGCTGAAGCTAGTAAGTATTTCCAGAAGACTTCAGATGAATAAAAAGGCTGAGGGACTTCAGTTCCCATGTGAAGCAGTTTTGGTGCGTATATGCAAGAATGGAAGAAGGGGATTATCGTGCTTTGACCTTTTCCAAGAGTGGCTTTGTTCATAGGTTTCATATCTGAAACCTTAAATGGACTGTCTGTAAACTTTATGTAACTTTATCCCCAGGGAACATGGTGCATCACATTACTTGTTTTGTTGGCCTCCTTTTCAATCTTCCAGGACCGTAATACCACCTGCCTCTCTATCCTCTGTGTACAAAGTAAGAAAGCTACCCCAAGTGTGATCTTTCACCCTCTGCTCAGAAGCCTAAGAGATTTGACACTGCCAACAGCATGGAATAACTGTGTTGATTCTTTATATACTGGCACCAGGCAGTTGCTTCCTTGGCTGAGAAGTCATGTTTAATTGTAATGACTACTAAAAAAAAGTAGAAATGCTTTCACAGGGATTTGGGAATCCCCAGATGTCTGCTTTTGGCAATAAGGAAGCTTGAAATGCAGCATTCTTATGCTAGTGGCTATGTGAATCCTTCCTTTTGTGGGGAGTCAAGGAAAGTAGGTAAAAATGAGAGAATTGAATTGGACGTGTAGTTTGTTACTCGATAGTTTGTAGCCTGAAAAAAGCCAAAAACCACAGGGAAAAATACAATTACAGGATAGTACTCAGTAAAACTTCCTCCTGCAGTCTGTGGCTTCAGGTTCTTAAGCTCTTCCTGTACCAGCTGCTGGATTATTTTTGTGCATTTTTGTTTTCCCCCAAATTAGAGCCTTTTAACTTCCAGCTTCTTGCCATCCTATGTGGATGAGTTCATGCTAGCTGAATGTTGTATGAATAGTAAAATCAATCATGTTTTGAACATTACAGCTAATAAAGCATGAATTGTGGATGAACTGTGAGGCAAGTGAAAAGTGTGAGGCAAGTGAAAATATATATATATATTTATATTATATTATATTTTATATATATGTGTGTGTGTGTGTGTGTGTGTATATATATATATTTTCCTTCTCCATTGCAGTTGCTTCTGCTTCTCATTCGCTCTCTGAACTATGGATTGTTCTGGTGTATTTAGTCTCTCCACTATGAGGGAACTTGCTTACTGTTATTCTTGTAACCTTTCTATTTTTTTTTTTCTAATTTTATTTCATAGTTCTACTTTTTTTCCTCTCTTTTTCTGTGATTTTTAAGATTCTTGTTTTTGTTTTTGTTTTTCTGTTTTTTAATCTTCTCAGAAAATAAACATAGCACTTCTGAGGTTCATAGTACTCTTAATGAGCAGCGACAAGTCCTCACAGTGGTCTGTCTTTGACCTGATTGATCTTGCTTTATTTTATGAACTTTCTTCGGCGCTTCTGCAGCTCGAGTTCCATCTTTCTTGTAATTCCGATCTGAAGTCAGTTTGGTGCCACAGCAGTCCTGGCCAAAGCCATTCTGGCTCTTGGGCTGCACACTGTCTGTCCAGCAATCTGCGGAGCTTCCCAATTGCTTGAACGCGATCTGGCCAAGTGAGGTGAGGAAGCCTGTGCCCCAGCACATCTGGGTCGGGCTGGGAAATGCAGTGTGGCAAAGTACCATGGACAGGGCCCAGGCCTTGGCTGCCGGAGCCCTTGCCGTGCTCAGGGCACTCGCCTCGCTGGAGATCTTGGACACGTGTGTGGCATGCATCTTGCCCACCGTTTGGTACTTCAGACTTCTGAGTACTGGCAGAATAACTTCTCTCTATCAGCCTCACAGTTGTAATTTCCCCTCTGTCTGTCCTTATCAGCCTTCATTTGTTAGAAGGGAAGTTACTCCAGCAGACATATCTTGTGCTTAGGGATTTCACTGCTAATAGAGCCTAACTCCAAATTCCTTTAGGAGCATTTCTTACAGTATTTCACTTGAGATGTTCCTGCCTTTGTTTACTTAATCTCCTTGTTAAAGTGACAAACCCGCATTCATTAATGTTGCTCAGAGACATGCTGCAGACAGGGCTGAAATTTAGATTAATCTGCTGTTGATCCTGTATGAATTGATTATTCCCCTTTCATAATTTACAGTAGAATTTCTGGAAGGGGATGAAAGCTGAAGATATTTCCAGAGCACTGGTTTATGTTGTGTTAGAAAGAACTGTTTTGTCACACTGCATTCGTAGTTAACTTGCGTGCAATGGATTGGGGCACCAAAGGGATAAAATAATGCATCTTCTTATACTGCTAGCTGATATAATACTTTCAGCATCTGTTGGATCTCAATTAACTTATTTCATGCACTTCAACAAGTCCCATCTGAATATTTGGAGGTGGTTTTGGACAAACACAGCGTGCTTGATTTGTTAAGTTAAATCTTAGGTTTAAGAATGATCAATATATTCTCTCAGCAGCGGCACTGATTGTACAACCTGCCCATTTCAAGTTCATGGGTTGTTCAGAAAGCATTTTCATAATTTTGAAAGGTTGTACCTGTTATGCCTTGTGCTAGCATGTGGAAATACAGGGTAAGATGGAGCATCACATTTGTAGTGACAGTGCTAGTTCAAAGGTTTAGCATTCATTGAAAAGGGGAAATAAAGTTGTTTGTAACTGAACCTACCATAGAAGTAGGGTGAAATTCTTCTGAGATCTCACACACCCTGTGAAAAGAAGGAGGGAGGCAGTTTTGGTGAGAGTTCTGCTTTATCCCCATCTTTACCCAGGAAAGGACATTACTATTCTGCAAGTCTGTGAAAAATGCTGCTGCTTTGCCTGAGACTATGTAATATTAATGAACATAACAGTTTGTTGGTTGCAAGGCTTGATAAGCTGTATGCAGCATTTTGTAGTTCCAGACCCTTTGTTTGCAGAATGTATTCTTCAATTCTTGTGTCAACTTCATAGCCGTGAAAGATATTTTCTACCTGCACAAAATACAGAAGGCAGTACAGCCTTAGTTTATGAACAGCCTCTAACTTTGACAGAAGAGGTGTATCTGTGACAGATTTTTAAGCTTTCTCTTCATTACAGTTTGTATTCTTGAGTTTTTCAGTTCTTAGGCTTGAAATTACTGCAGCGAAGGCGATATTGAAGTCAGCACCTGTGTAGTTTGAGGAGCAGATATGGCATGCAGACTTTTAGTGGCATGTAAATGCTGGTGCAGTTGGGGAGTTAAGCATCTTGAGAGGGACAATTATTAAAGGCTAACCAGCTCCTTGCTTTAGAGTTTTAAACATAGTGTGAGCCCTTACTTTCCACAGAACTGGAACGTCATGGATTTGCTAATAGCAGATATCTTGCCTTTGTGAATTAGAGATTCCTGCTGAATTGCACCTAAAACACTGCTTATGCTCTGGAGTGAAAGATTGTCTGAACTTTTTAGTTAAAGTCTTTCTAACTGCATTGCGTTTGTCAGTAAGTTAAAATTTTAAGGTAGGAATTTGGAATGTAGAATTTATTCAGTTGGAAATGCACGGACACTGTCAGACAAATTAAAGTTACCAAGTAGTGCTGAACAGTGAAAATGCTGGGAGCTGTTGGCCTTGGTTAGATTGGAAATAGCAACGTAAAGATGACTGACTTTATCTGCTTCCTGAACTGTTTAGAGCTTAGACTGTATTTATTTCTAAAACGAAGTCAAAGAAAAGTTCCCTGAAATAAGAATTCAGAGTTACTCCTAGGATGACTGCTGGTCTTGACAATTTTTCAGACTGATAACCTTTAGACTGTAAGCTGAATCTGTGAATCTTGTATTTGCACAAAAGCTGTTTTCCAGTAAGAAAAATGTGCTCGCCTCTACTCTCTGTAATTATTCTGTATTGACTGTAGCTTTAATCACAAACACAATGAATGCAACAAATACTCAACAATGACATATTTTAGCATGGAAAAGACACCAGTTTCCTGCTAGGTGCTTTCTTCTCATTAAGTAGAATTGTATCTTTATCCTGAACAGCAGATGCCTTACTGTTTGCACAAAACAGAAATTCAGGGAATATATGCAGAACGTGAGCGGAAGATCGTAGCCTGGAGTTACTATTCATGTGCACCGCAATCTCGTGTACCACTATTAAAGGCAGCAAATAATTCTTTTTAAAAATATGTATTTCTTTTTCTCTTTTAGGCAGTATTTTGCATTTCTGCAGAGCTTTGCACAGATCCTGTTCCCATGCAAACTGATGAGGGAGAAATACTGGAGGAAGGCAGCCCCAAGGTCAGTGAGGTGAACAGTGCGGTATTTTGGCGGATCAAGAACTTGCTTGGCTGAAATGGGAAATATGTGGAGTGAATGCTGACTACTGATGATATTTTAAATAAATAACTGCATGCAATAAATAATACTTATGATGCTGGAGGCATTAAAAATAACATTTTTAAAAGCTTTTAGGAACACGAGCTTGTTTGGTTGACTGCTAAGGATTGAAAGCGTCTACATTAGGCTACTACCAGGAAGATATGTGGGAACTCTTGAAAAGAACTACTAACTTTGCTTGTGTTCTGTTTGTTAGAATTGGAGGGGTTTGTCAAGGTTTCTGTCCCACACACACACCCTGTCAGCTAACTAACTTCAAGAATTAGGCATGTGAGTGCAGGTATCAGTGTTTATATTACTGACTGATTGATGGCTTCATTTCCTTGCGCGTGTCGGCATGTGCTTTGATGTTGTGAGGCTGGATGGACTGTTACCTATAAAGGTATCTCTGATACTAGACATGCATTGTTGAGACCAGGTTGTTAAGTTTGCTGTTGAATATAACATTGGTTTTGTCCTGTTTTTTGCTATTGAGACCAACTTCCTGAAGGTGCAGGTGTTGAGTCGCGAATGTCTTTGGTTTACATAATGTTATGGTCATTATCATATTCTTCAGTAGGTTTGTAAGTGTATTCTACAGTCCTTTCTCAACCAATTTGCATTAACTTTGAAATTAATGCATTTTAAAATACGACTTCCAAAGTTCATGAAGATCCAAATCATTGTTAGCTTATAGCTTTTCTGTAATGTACTTGAGCTGCAGCTGAGAAAGGGAATTGTTGCAGGACCTGAAATTCGTCATTATCAGGCTGCAGCTTCCTGAGACATCTTCTCATATTTTTATGCTCTAATAGAACAAAACATTGTTTAAGCTCTAGTCATCATGCTAGAAGCTAACTAATTGTTACAGAAATAACTTGACGGTTGTCCCATATGTACTTAGGGAACTATGTAAATTTTAAATGGATTTGAAAGAAGACTCAATAGATTTGGAACTGACAAATGAAAACATATCTGGATGCACCTGCACCCACTCAGACGGTTGAAAGCTTCTCTTAACACAAATGTGGTTACAAGTACCAGTGGAGGATACTGACGAGAGAAAACATCGTGGTGTGATTAATTACTGTGTTCAACAGCATGGTCATCGGTGCTTTATTTTCATCAGGCAGAGTCTGTGTGTGTGTGTATGTGTCTATGTGCTTGTATATGGATATATACACACATAAAGCCATATGTATGTATATATGTGTGTATACATATGTCTGTGTGTATATATATACATATATGAAAAAAACACAAAGCTCTTAGGTGTGTGTATATATATGTAAGAGCTTTATAAGCTTTATATATGAGTGTGTTGTGTGTGTGTGTATGTATACCTATAAGAGCTCTGTGGTTGTTTTCTTTTGTCTGTGTGGCAGGAAGTAGACTGAAGCAACACTTTTGTGAAATTTACTCTTTTTCTCTAGTAAAAAGCAGGCTTTATTTTCATGGATTTATTTTGGATGGATTTTAATTTTAATTGGAATGGCGAAGATCATAAGCTTCATCCCACGTAAGGTGTTCAAAAAAGTACAGAGCTTAAATTCCAAATAAAGCCTTTTAAAGTGACTTTAGATACCTAAGTGCATATTGTTGTATAGCAGGTGTTACACAGAATCAGTGTATGTTGAGCAAGACATTCTCAGGACTGCTTCCTTCTCATCCTGTGATACACAGGACTACACACTGGAGTGCGTGTCCCAGTGTTTCTTTTGACTGTAAATGATAGTCTCAGGACTCAGGGTCTGTCCTAGAAAAACAATGTGTATTTCACTGTATTGTTTTGCACTTCATTTAAAAGCGTTCACGTGATCTAGTGAGCCATTTTCATCGAGATTTTTTCCCTAAGAAATATTTTTTTAAGACTTCAGTAATGTAGTTCAGTTCTTCTTCTTGCATCAAGGCTGTTTGCTTCTCTTCTTTGCAAAGCAGACAACGATTTTTTTTTTTTTTTTTTTTTTGGGATGGAACAGCTTTGTTCCTCAAATACATTAATGTAACTACCTATTCATACTTTCTTTGTTTCTTTCATTTCTCCCCCTTTATCCATTCAAAAATATTATGTTGTAAATAAAACCCAGATAAAGAATTATTGCTATGCTTATTGTTCAGATCAGTGGATCTTCTGTGAGGGTTTTTTTTCCTAGGTGTTTATACCCACATTCAAATCCTTGTGATCCTTTTGGACTCCTCCCCAGCTTACACTCTGTAATTCCCACAACTTACCTGTTCTCTGGCCTTCAATAGAAAAAGATTTTTCAGCCTGTAAATTGTATCTACATCTTCTAGAGTTTTATTTCTTGCGTGCATTCAAGAAGGATGTTTGGTATATTAGCAGCTCCTTTGAAGCTCTTCTCTAAAGCATTGTAGAAATTGAACCCAGAGCTCTTAGAGTTCTTAGGAGTTCACTTGCTGCTGATTAAGTACGTTCAAGGTACTTGAGTGACAATAAGTTTGATTATATCTTATCATGTTAAGGCACCATCCGTAGCCTTTGTTCCGGATAATTCATGTCAAGCCAAAAAGAGATTGTGCAAGGGATATGGAGGAAGAAATTACCGTTTGTGTGGTCATTCCTAGCATCTTTTATTGGCTTCACCACAATAATTATGAAAGTAAAGCATGCAAGGTTTCTTTTATGAAATTATTTCTTTACTTTGCAGCCAACTAAGGCTGTTCTTGGGAAAGATGGAGAAAAAAAAAATGTTGAACTTGGTTTTTATGTTTTTGTTTATATTTTGTTACTGAAGGTGATTGTGGGTTTTTCTGTTGTTTGTTTTTTTTTTTTTTACATAAGGTCAAAGTTAAAAGCCACTTTATGTCCATATGAAAATGGCCCAGGCCTATGTGTTGGAATGCCTTGGTATCAGCTATGCTTGAAGAATTTCTACTAAGTAGTAAATGGCCTTGCTGTGATTGTGCTCCATACTTTTTTTTTTCTTTTCAAAATGCAAAAAGTGCTCAAGGGTCTGGTGGGTATTTCTCCACTGTTCAGAATTTCTCTCCTATCGTAGGTAGAGGTTGGCTTGAATGAAAAATTGAGGGGTTTCAGGGATGATACCAAAATTATCCTTCGCTGAGATATGATCAACATCTGAATATGGAGACTTGGGTACTGCAAGAATTAACATTTTTATGGTGCCAGTCTTAAAATAGCTTTAAACATTTGTGGCCACTCATTGTCATAGGGTTGGGACAGAAGAATAGGCCGTGCTTTATTTGTTCATTTACTTATTTATTTTTGTCATTCATTCTTTCCAGGGTTGCTTTCCAGCAAAGACTGGGCTTCCCTCTCTCCACAAAACACCGTAGGCTGGACTTGGGGAACCTTACTCTCTTGGCAGCTTCCTTGCCAGGGCTTTTCATCTAAACTGGCTCCATTGTTACATCTCAGTTTCTTCCTTGTTGCCAGGCTGTCAGAAAACACACTTTGTTAGCAGAACATCAACAGAGTAAAGACAGCAGGCAGCTGTCAATAGCGTGCTTTTGATTCCAATAATTAGATGATAATCACTCCACTAAGAGGGAAAGGAGCACACTCAAAAGTAACCTTCTTAAATGTTTGTTGTGTTTTTTGTTTTTTTTTTAAGGTAGTTATTTTTGACAGATGTGGAAGCCTTATTAGGCAGCAAATATTGGATCTGTTTTATCTACGTGATCAGCCTGGATACCACGCAGCAATGTATCTTCCACTTTGTAGAAGTAATCCAGTGGGTGGGGGATGTCTGTTTTTTGTCTTTTCAGCATTTTTGTTTTTCTTCCCTTCTTTTTAAGAAATTCTTCCTTCAAACCCAATGACCTCTCCTGCTCCTTGGATTATGATTTGTTTTTTTTCTACTTATGCTTTATGTGAGTTGAATTGCTACATAGAATTACTGAGCTTTTTCCATCAACAGCCTCAAAACTTTGAAAATATCAGCAAGCACTGAGCTGCTTTTTTGTGGCTCATTTCTTTTCAGCTGCTTTTATCCATCTGTTAAGGATTGTTGCCCAGACAACACTTCTACTTTGTTTCTCAGTTGTTCCTTTACTGTAAAATATTGCAAGGGGGAGCTAAAAGTTTATGCCTGATTTGGAATATTTTTTTAATTATTTCAATATTGGCAGAGATTTTAGCTTAAGTTGCAAACATCTTTCCCAAAAAATGCAATTAAAATTTTCATATCAAGTGTTGTAATATTTCTTCCTTCCTGCCCTGATGATCTTTTGTCATTGACACTAAAACCCTATAAATTTGCAGAGAAGAAGGATGATGACCTGCATAGTGTACAGAAAGATGTTTATGAATTGTGGTTTTGGTTCCATGTTGTAGGAGAGAAAGGAGGAAAACAGCTTCTGCCTGTTTCACATACGGCTGTTTCAAAACCAGCAATGCAAAAATTGGAGCTCATGCTGTTGTTCGGTCTCACTGCTCAGTGCTGCTCATCAAACTGTCTTGAGAAAGTTACCTGTTAATCATTGTTTTATTTTGAGTTGCCCACCTGTTCTTATCTGTTAGTGAGAATCTTCTCCTTCTGTTGCTGCCTTCTTGTTCTCATTTTTCTTGCCTCCTGGTGTCTAATTGTGAAGTAGCATTTTTCCTTCTGTTTAAATCACTTCAGAGCTGTTGATGATGGCTGTGGTTGTTTTATCTGGAGGCATTTACACTGAGATAATGAAAAGGTTAAAAAGTACAGAATGCTTACTCAAAGACTTTAGCTGTTGAAACTAAGGAAACTTAAGCTTGCCAGATTAGCACTTGTATTTGATTTGATAAATTACATGTTTTGATATTTACAAACACAAACTAGAAGCATTGTTGGAAGGGGAGTGTGGCCAGTTGGGAGATACCTGTTACTTAAAAATAAGGAATGGCTCACTCACTCTTTCTATGTGTAAGCTGTGCTTGGTTTTTGGTAGTCGATGTTAACTGCATT